TTTTTGTTGTCGAGAGAGAATAAATATAAATAATCAATATAATATATGAAATATCAATGTAATATATTAATTGTTAATTAATTAATGGTTAATTTTTTCAGAATGCGGGTGTGCCGAATTATCTAATATTAACTGTAAAAGCAATCGATAGAGATCCCGGCGAAAATGGCCGTGTTAGCTACCACTTGAAAGTCGGCAATAGAAACGTTCAGGAAACCGAAGAATTTTCTATAGAGCAAGAAACCGGTGAACTTCGATCGAAGATTATCCTCGACCGTGAGATCAAAAGCAAATTTGAAGTAAGTAATATATGAAACCATTTTCTAATGAGATTGGAATTCTATGTACATTTTCTTTCAGCTTGTTCTTGTGGCAGCCGATCACGGCAGTCCTACAGCGTACGAAACACTTCGTTTATTAACAGTTCAGTTAGTTGATACAAACGATAACATACCGCAATTCTACGAGGAATATAATTTCCATGTATCCGAGAATCGTCCAAGAGATTATTTCATTGGCAAAGTTACAGCGGAGGATAAAGACGAAGGCAGACACGCCAAGGTCTATTATTACATAGAAGCAGGTAAATATATATAAAGCATATACACAATATACTTAAAATCATACTTTTCTTCTAGTTATAACTTATAATTTCTTAATGAATAAAGTTATTTTTCAATAAGATTATGATTTTTCAATAAATATATTTTCGCAATTTGACTTCAGCTATCTTACAAATGTATTATTTACTCTTTTTAAGGAAACGAAGGATACGCCTTTTACATGGACAAATCTGATGGCAGTATCTATGCGAATAAATCATTTGATCGCGAAACGAGAGACAAATATGTTCTCTCTATTCTTGCGTCCAACGATCCCGATCTTTATATCAATCCTACACAATCCGGCCGTCCGTTGACTCACAATCCAGAGCATGGACACGTGAACGTAACTATAACTGTGTTAGACGAAAACGATAATCCGCCCATCTTTGAGCGCAATGACTATTACGCTGGCGTAAATTCCATGGCGAACATAAATGACTTCGTGACCAAAGTAACTGCCTCCGATTTGGATGTTGGTGACAATGGTACTCTCCATTACTATGTTGCCAGCGCGAATCTTTACAAATATGGCTCGGAAAAGCCGAGCGGCTCGATAGTGCCAAGTCCATTCAACGTCACGCAGGATGGTAAACTCGTTACGAGCGGATACATGGCGGAATACAATCAAGACAGATTTATCGTCGAAGTCATCGCTAAGGAGACGGCCATTCCAGAAAGATATGCGATGACGAGAGTTCATGTAAACTTTTTTTGCAATTATCATTATTAATATTAGTTTCACATTAACATTATTGGCTTTATATGATATTATTACTAGTGATATTATTATTAGTAAAAAAGATATTATTATTAGTATAATAATTTGTGTGTGCGTAAGTTTTTTTTATATAGCAATTATGTAATATAGCAATTGCTATATTAAATATCTATCTTCATTTCACACAAATTTAATTAATTTTTATTTTTGTTAAGGTGTGGGTATTTGAGCCATCTCAACTAATACGAGTCATATTGTCCCGGCCTCCGGAGGAGGTGAATAGCGAACGCGACGAGATTGTTTCAGAATTATCCAATGCTACACAAAGCAGAGTCGTAGTGGACGATATTAGATATCATGTTGACGCTTCTGGACATATCCGCAGAGAATGGTAATTACACGCAGATATAATTCTTTCTAAAATGTTTCTGTCACAATTTGTACATACATATTATGTATATTGGTCTGTATTCAGAACGCTTACAACGTTAATGTTATCGTATTAACGTGCTATAGCTTACGTTACGCGTAGAATTTCAGAGACAAAAGTGCGCTTTTATCGATAAAAACGCGTTCTGAATACAGGCCAATGTATATAATATGTACATATACGAGCCATATGTATGTACACATATATCGCATATCATCTATATAATATAAAATAATTTTTAGGTGCGACATGTATTTGCACGTTGTCGAACCGAAAACTCAAACTATTGCACCGATACCTCATGTGCTCAAAGTTATTGATGCAAAATACGATTTTTTAAAACACTACTACGCTGGGTTTGCCATAGAGAATGTTGTGGTAAGTACCGTGATATTGCGATTTAAATCTGTAAAAATGACTTCATAATAATAAACTAGATAAAATTAATTTCCTTGTAGTACAACAAGCGATAATGTTACTAAAATTATTGAACGTATGCATATAACTTATAATTATTTCAGCCCGCATATGCTGGAATTCAAGAGGAACCATTCGATCCTGCACTCGCTGCTTTAATAGCTCTTTTAGTTGTTCTACTCGTAGGTGCGGTTACTGTTACAGTCGTTTGTTGCTGTCTACGTCATTGGTAAGAATACAAAGACATTTCAGACATATTTTTATTTTATTCATTCAATATATCTACATTAATGATGCTTCAGGGTGATAACTGTGCCAAATGATATACGTAAGAAAGACGGCCTAATTAAAAAACAGATCATTGACGAATTGAACACAACGGAGAATCCTCTATGGATCGAGCAGTAAGTCTCATTTCTTTCGCATATACGATTATACGTGTGATATATAACGAAATATTGTTCTCGATTGTAGAAAATTAAAGCTCTACGAGGAGCAAGAGTTAACGATGCAAGTGTTCAGCGAGCCCGAGGGTGGTCTCGGCGGAGAGAGACGCGGCAGTGGCGTAAGCATCGGCATGGGTGATACATCTCAAGATAACACTTATGCAACCATCCAACATCCATTGCCTACGAACAGGCATCGTCCCACTACTCCAGATTATACGACGCTTCCAGGAAATCACAATGTAAGTCGAGTAATACTAATGGGTATTATAAGACCGTGAAACCTCGTTACACTGACAGACTTACTCTGATTAGTGATTCTCTCTTTGAGATTGTAGAGTTTTAGCTGTAATGGAGTGTTCTGAAAATTACGATAATCAATATAATTTGCACAATATTAGAAGTAATGAATTACATGACTTGGAAGTAGCGAAAAAAACGTGCGCATTATATATAAACAAATAGAATATTCCCCCCCCCCTCTCCCTCTCTCTCTCTCTCTCTCTCTCTCTCTCTCTCTCTCTCTCTCTCTCTCTCTCTCTCTCTCTCTCAGGGTCTTTTTGCTTTAAGAATCAGTACACAAAAAAATTGTCATCGTTAATAATGTACAATAGATGTCAGTGCAATTGGTCTCCAGACTTTCTTATGGAAATTTAATAACTGAAGAATACTGATTATTTATTTATTGTTTTAGTATTAAAAGCACTGTTATTCCCTGTTGTGCTTTTAATACAAAGTAAGTAATTTCCAGTATTAAATTGTATTTCTGTAAGGATTGTAAAGCATAATTCCTAAACAGGCAATTTTTTTTTAATTTTATGCTTCAGTTATACGAATCGGCAATGGGTTTTCAAGGATCAACATTTCAGCCTTCTCCGAACGTGATGCCGCAACTGACGGTCGACCGCGACGGCCAACCCCAATTCGTTTCGGGGCTAATATAAATCAGCTCTGATACACGGGCACACTCAGCCCATCCACTCCTCCTCCCTTTCTATCTCTAAATAAGCTCCGTCGCCGTACGTTGTACCTCTTTATCCGCGGCTCTTTTTCATTGCACGCGCCTCTTCGGAGCGTACTTCGGGCGACTCGCATGCACACACCTCTTTGACAATAACCGAGTTAAATATTGGTCGGGTTTGTCCTGCGAGTAGACGCGTGTACGAGAAGAGCGATACGACACGACATGACATGAAACACGGGACACAACATTCGCGAGATCCGCCCTTTTTCACTTTCATGACTTTTGCAATTTCAGTTCAGACTCTTCCCCGAGAGCTTGCGAAAGGACTCACGATGAAGAGTGACGACGAACGACACAGTCAATATTACTGGAGTAATTAATCCCTGTAGCTGGTGTGTGCATGTATATATGTGTGCGTTGCCAACCTGGGGTCCCGTCTGACTTTATCGTTAGAGCTACTTTTTAGAAGAATCAAAAAAGCAAAAGAAAAGAGAGAAGAGAATATAAGCTAGATAAAATAGATACTGTGAGATAACTCGACACGACCGAAGCTTGGCACGACAGATATATGTATATAAGTGAATGTGTAGATTCCGTCCAGCCCAGTTTTTGTATTACTTTTCTCATTAGTTTAATATTTATGCGTTTCCGAGACATGTACGTACGTTCGAAATGCGAACGCATCTTGTACGTTTTACAACGATCACTGCCACGTTTCTAGCATCTAAGTGATGCAGATTGTTGTATTTGGTGAACAAATAATTGCGTCATTGTTGTTGTAAACACACAACGTTTATAAATTAAATAGTGCATATAATTTCTAAGTTAGTATACTGTTAATTTCGTTCTAGTATAAAATTTATTTAAGATAGAATATTTCAAATGACTGATATTTTCTCTTCTTTCCAAGTAAACTGTGATTTGATTGCGCCCAAGTATGAGTGTAATGATTTAACTCGTAATGATTTTGCACGAGTCACTGGCGATGGGCGGACATAGTCATATCATAGTTAGATGAAGTAATGACACTCGCAGTGAATTCCAGTGTCATTACGGCGAAATAATCTTGCCTTCGAAAACCATGTCGACTTTACACTTTAATAGTGACTTCATAAACCGTCCTCGACTGAGAACACAGAGATCATGACCTCCGGGAATTCCCTGCGGATGCCACTTTCCGTAAAAAAAAAAAAAAAAAACGTATCGCAACTACTCGATAACAGCAGTAACTTAACTTACGATCGAGTTATTTCTAAGAACATTTAATGTAAAACTATTATCGGTATCATGATATTACTAGATGGTTATGAATATTCCAGTTAGCAAAAGTATCTGTTTTATTAATTACAAATTTATTGTAATATTGTAACATATTTTATGTAAGTCATTAATAAAAAATATTCATACACCAGATCTTGAATTAAGTCTGTAAAACAGACCTGTTTGAGATCGATTGGTCTTCTTTACTTTCATCTTGATTGACATTTTTTAAAACAGTGCAACTTGTAAGATTTTTAGGATAGTTTTCAGTTTGTTCCTTTACTTCCTCAGGATTACTTTCAAAGCCAAGTTGTTGAAAGTTCTCGTTTTTCGATTTTGGTGTAAAATCTAATATTCGAACCAGTGATTCTGGTTGATCAAGCCATAATTTATATCCTTTTTTTGTAGGATATCTTTTACTATTCATGCAAGTTAAACACGTCCATTTGATACCCTTTATAGGCTTTGATACTAATCTAACTCTGGCTGTCTCCCCAGATATGAGTGGACTTTGACAACATTTACATATTGTTCTTTTTAAATTTGGTTCCCTAAGATAACGAATCATTAAAACAACTGTAAATAATTCTTTTTTTTGTTTTTCTTTTCAATAAAATATATAATATTATAAATCATTTAAAAACTTACGTGCGTAATACTGCCTTCTTAGCACAAGCGAACATATGGTTACCAAAGTAAGATGCCATAACTCGATTCTTTAATGCCATTAGATGACTAGCCTGTGATAACATTAAATTTCACAATAACATCATATATTTCTACATTATTTTACCAAGGAAAAATTATTATAATGGGTAAATAAAATTCACTTATTGAAAGATAATGAATTTCATAATTATTTATACCTGATATAAATAATTCATTCTTTGAAAAACATCTTTGTTTTGGCAAATTTGATTCTTTTCTATAAACATATATATATATATATATATATTATAACAAATGTATACATATTTAGAAACATTTTAATAATATTTAACTCACTCATTATAAAATATATTATTTATTACTTCAATTTGATCAATAATCAACAATTTGACAATTTATATTGTTAAACAATAATGTAAACAACGAAAATTCATGTGTCAATAATCAACTCCTCAATGATAGCTTTACACTTTTAAGGTTAGATTGAACCAGCTGGGTTAGGTTAGATTACTTCCATGAAGAATTATTCGCAGCATTTTTACGACCGACTGCTGCCAACCGAAGGTTGGCGTTTCATCTTCTTATTTCAACGACTCTTACCTGCCTGGAGTAAATTCTTTGGAGATCTTAAAATGATCTCACAAATATGAAGTAAATAACAATTTTATTTTTCTCACGATGTTTTATTATTAAACTTTTCATTAAAAAATTCTTTGTTAAAAAATATACATATAAAAATCCATAAGGACTAGTTTTATTTTTAATTCTAACGTTTGTTACATTGTAACTATATATAAAAAAGATTACAGTATAATCTACTAAAGTAACATTAGAACATGAATATTATTCTGCATACTTTACACTTATATCAAAAGTACAAATATGTGTATTTATATTTTTTAGAATTGAATTTAACAAAAATTTATTTAAATAATTTAATTTACTTCCTCATCAATATTTTAATATTTTAATTATTTTTATTATGTTATCGTAATGCATATCTTTTAATGCAAATAATAGGTATTTTTTATTTTTTATACTGTTAAAAAATAGAAAAACAGAAATTATATATGGAAAAATTATCTCCTCAATACTTTTATATTTTTTTTGAGTGATTCGATTTTTACACTGATGCATCATCTATAATTGATCCCTTTCCATTCAGAATCTCTGACTGTAGAACTGATTTTAGACTTTTGAATACAGGTATGGTGATACCCTTGAAGATGGGATTCCTCTGGCTTGTATTGGAAGAATCCGATTCTCTGGATTTAGTTTTACATTTCCATGTCAAGTTCGGGGTAAACTCAACTTCCATATCAAGCATCTCTTCAGTATCAAAAGCATTGTCATTCATGGAATTCTGATTATCATTTCTAAAAAGAGAAAAACATCATGAGCAACTATATTCGATTAATGCTCGTTTTAATCGATGTAGATCAACTTTAATCTTGCCTTTATTTACTTTTTATCTTTTTCTAATTCTAAGAATTGTAAAAGTATAAAGAGTAAATTAAACCAAAATTAAAGTTAATCTACATTGGTAGAAATAGACATAAATTATATTATTACTACACAGAATTATTCATAGCATAGTAAATAACAGTTTTATCCGTTTTAATGCTTTATAAAACTTTTCAATTAAAAAACTCTTTATCAAAAAATATATATGATAAAAATTCGTAAGAATTCTTTTTCAACTTTAACATTTTATTTGTTACAACTATAAAAAAATTATTAGAGTATGAGTATAGTAACTTTGAACACAATGTACTCAATGTACTTTTTAGCTGTGTTTGATTTAGATGCTTTTAATGCTTCTATCCTTACATAATAAACAAAATAAGTGTTTAAAACGTAAACGATTAAATCAAACTCAATAATATAATATTCTATAATATGACATGTAAAATTATAAATGTAAAAACAATTTCAGGATTCTAAAACTTATTTAATTTATAAGGTGTAAGCAAAAATATAGTACCGTGAATGATTCTCTTGTCCATCATTACTCTCATCATAATGATAGCCATATTCCGCTAGAACAATGTCCAAATTGTCACATTGCTCTTTCAAATCTTTGTACATCGCTTGCGACTCTTTTACTAACTGATCTGTCTTATCCAATGACGGTTCCAATTTTAACTGAAGTTTTTCCAGTGCAACCTATAATTAATTACATAATCCATATAATCAAATGCTCATTTTACAATTTCTTCATAATAAAGTTCACTACTCATGATGATATCTTATTTTCTACATTAAAGATATGATTCAGACTGTTTCAAAATTTGTATTGCCAAGGTTATAAATTTGTAATATGTGTAACACATAAATGTCGTAAACCAGATAAAGATATTCGATAGATATTTCAAAACAAAAAAAATTATTTAAAAATTACAGATTATTCTAAATTGCTGCATTCAAAAGTAATACAACAAATTTCTTTTAGTAATGATTTATCATCTGGATCATAATAATCTATTTCAAAATAAGAAGTATTTTATATATAAATCGATGCTCTAATAGAAATGAAAATGTATTATAAAATAAATGACAAAAATCTCATTTTTTAATAAGTATCTTATGTATATTCAAGATTATTTATGTAAAGTTACATTGCAATGCAGAAGTTAGTTGTCCAGTAAATAAATATTTAGTCTAAATTTTTGTAATTAATCACAATAGAACTTTGCATAAGTTATTTTGAAAAAGTGTACTAAATTTTTTCAAAATTTTTTTCAAAGTTTTTTAAATTAAAAAACCTTTCGAAAAATCTGAATTAAACACCAGTGATCCGATTGAAGTAGGAAAGCAGTAAAAAAAATATTGAATCACACACGAAGAGTTGGGGAACGCAATCTCGAGATAATATTATCCGATCCGAACAATACTTACACCAGTATTCCGTACAGATTCCCATAACCTCTCCAGATACATGTTAGTCTCAGTCGTACATTCCGCGTAGCCGCCGATAATAAGTTGCGGTGTTCTCCACGTCTCGGAAAGTTTTTCGATACCTTCGTCGACATTGCGTGTTTTGCTCCGCAATCTGTCGAAATAATTTGAGCACTTGGCAAATGTACTCCTATCCATTCTTCGTTTACGTTTTATACACACTCTACTAAACTAAACTACACTGAACACAATTACACAACTGCGCTGGGATAGGGTTGACAGGGATGTTCCTCTCCTCTGGCAAGGAGACTTGCTGGATTCACACTGCATCCGATTTTCGTCGTACGACGATTCTGCAACTAATCAGAAAACAAAATTTTGCTTCGTACCGATGATACGATTTTTCTGATTGGTTGCAGAGTCGTCGTACGAAGAAAATCGGATGCAGTGTGAATCCAGCAACTGTTCTAGTTGATTCTAGAAATCGAACTCTTTTGTACTCAAATGTGGTAATGATAAAATGTATTGGTAGGCTTGCCACTTTTCTTAACGGCTGCCTGAACGAAAAACATTTTATTGAATGTTTGTTCCTATTTTCACTACCTTTTATACGCATTTATATATATATATATATATAT